CCGTGGTGATCCCCCCGCGCTATGGGAACGAAAGCGCCAATAGCCAACGAGCCAAGCGACTCGCTACTACAATACTCACGTGCATACCAACGGCGCGTCGAAACGTCTATTCTTCACTGCGTGTGTAGTTAACTGAGCGCACATTGCGTTGCTCGTGCTATCCTGATGGCAGTGGTGCAAGCGAAACCGAACGAATCGATTCGTGACCACTCGTCGTGTCTCTCCAAGGTATTTTAATATGTATGCGTTTGGCAGACCGAACTCACAATTCCCGAAACCCCCACAGCCATGCAGAACTCGGGCGAGAGATCAAATAAGGCGTCAAATCACGCGTGACGCATGGCGTGTGGCAAGCACGGCTCGCCCGAAGGGCAACGCATGAACAAATAAATAATACCCCGCCATATTCTTGGTTCTTTCCATAAAGTCACGTAGAAAGGAAATAAAAATAAAATGAAAAATAAATTAACTAATTAATTCATTCAAAATATTAATTAGAAATGTAAAATAATAAACGCAAAAAACCCACAAAAATATTAATTTCTGCAGTCACGAAAGTTTTAAGTCAAAATACCCTGCCAAGTAAGATTCCTTTCATGAGCGATACGGAAGTGCAATGTTCAGCACGCCGAACCTGCGATCTGTCCCACCCGCGTTTGTTTCAACGAGGGCGACTCTCTCGCGTTGACCGGGACTCGTCGTCGGCACCGTGCGCTCTCCTCGGCAGCTTCTTGCCCCTTCTGCTGCTGTCGTGGTCTGTGTGCGTGCGGCGCGACCCGCTAGCCCGGCGGGGCCACCCACGCGAACTGCGTCAGGCGCTGTGACACGCGCAGCGGGGCCCAGTCCACTGCTGGATGAGGGGACTTCCGGCGCCGCGCGGGTCTTCGGGGTTATTTTGACCATACTTCACCACGGTGGTTAGTGCGGGTCGGGGAAGACAGCGAGTGCAGACGAACAGTATCACGGTAGGTTGTGTTGCACTGCCTTCTGTTGTTGCCTGTCGGGTATCCCATGCAGCAGCCTTCTACACACACCTACTACTGTGCTGTGTGTGGTGGTCGCCCATCCGAGCACTATGCAGGCCCAAAGCTGCTTAGCTTCCGAGATGAGTCCGAGGCGAAACGCACGCGCGCAGAGTGTACAGAGCGTCCGTGTGCAGTGACCGAGAGGCGAGTTGGTGGATTAATCGTTACTTAGACGGAGGTACAAAAACATCACTCAACACATTCGTCAATAACACTGTAGCCTTACAATGAATATATCAGCCGACGTTCCGGGCGATAGCCCCTCTTCATAACACGCGCGTTGAGTGTGTTTGCTTCTCGCGCTTATGCACCAATACCAAGGCAGTTTCACCAACATCATGTGTCGCACGGAGGTCACGCAGCTCCTACCCGGGGCCCATCCCGCGATGTTTGTCAAACAACAGACGCGCGCAGGGGCTGCGCATTGTCTCGTTTACACGCGAATGTGCTGAGTAGGCGTTCACGTCTCCTCGCCGTGGGTCGATGAGGGGAAGGGTGGGGACGGATAGGCCAGGGGGAGGCGAGGTTGAGATCAAAAGTTGTTAAACTGGACGCAAACAAATCAGTCGCGTGGTTCGTGGCGAATCTAAGTAACACGATGAGGGAGCGGGACACTCGCCTCCTCCACGAATCTGCGCCTTCCTGTGGAGACCCTGAGCCGAGATTGAAGGCGCCTCCCTCGCCAGAGCCCTCGCCCATTGTTTGCAGCCACTCGCTCAACGGTGACGAGCGGCCTCATTGTTATCACTCATTGTTATCACTCATTGTTATCACTCATTCTTATCACTCTTCGTGGTTCCCGCGAACAAAGCCCACGCCTCTCAACTCTCCCTCGCAGCTCACCCTGGACTCGCGAGGCGTGGACATGTTGAGAGGTCGCTGCCGAGTTCGCGTTCTCGAGGCAGGGGCCCTCTGTTAGACGTGGGGCCTAGTTCAAAGCAAAATTATAAAATATACAACAAAATAATCACTGGCGTCGTTGTGGGGAATATAACAGAGGCATTGGCAAATCATTCGCCTTCTACGAATTTTTGTTTTTCCTTATACGCGGAGAGACGGAGTTTTGCCTCGAAATGAATTATATTCTGCATATGCGACTTCAAGTCAGTAGCCCATAACACTGCTGAAGACACATCGAATCACCACTGCCGCGAGGTGAAGTTATTCGTATGAAACGTGGCGAGGGTGCAGAAAGCGCCAAATGCACCCACGAGATCATCCCAACTTCTCAACGCGGACAGCAGCGATTGTTCCACGAGAAGGTCGTGTCGACAGCAACTCTGAATCGCTGCGCGGTGTTGCTCACAGCAGTCTAGAAGCACCCCACCCCCCATAGCAACGTGCCCGTGGTGAGCCCTCCGCTTGAGCGATGGGCGTGTTCTTTACCTGGCGAGGGGGGGGGGCAGTGGTGGGATAAGTCTCTATCCCGCTGCTCCTTTCACCCCCCTCCTCCTCCCTCTCGCCTCGCGCTGTGGTGACACGAGTCGCTCTCGCGCAAGAGACTTCCTGCTCTCTCCCTCTCTCTGTTGAGTTCTCGCCTGGGCAAACAGCATGCACCGGAAGCTCACAGTCTCGTATTCTCCACAGCGTCGCTCGTGATTCGTTTGTCCTGTTGCGTGCTAGGCCACGCATCTAACAGAGAGGATCCTCGCCTATAACGTTTGACAGTCAATCGGCATTGGTTCAAGCAAGTCTGACTCTACTGACGAGACACTGAGTGTCGAAACAGGCCCAGAGATGTGCTTGCGTTCAACAAATAGTGCGTACTTTGTGCATTCCACGAGAGGCCGTGTGCCTGGTGGGATGTGTAGAGAAAATACTTTTTGTGTAGAGGGACAGATATGGAAAGGGGGCGTACTTGTGTGATTATTTCGAAGAAGATTGATGTGCGTTGTTTACTGAAGCGGAGGGGCGTTGACGGTAGGGTGTTAGAGAGCACACGGGGGCAGGAGACGGTTGTGTCACAGAGCTGTGAATGAAGACACTGATAGAGTTAGTGATAGGCAGTCATAATGACGATTAGATCATGATTACAGAACTTACTATCATCACAGTAACATCATTATCATAATGCCATCATAATCGTAGTGTCGCAAAAGACAAAGATCCGCCGTGTAGCCTTAACAGACTGTAGGGGCAAGTGCTGTTAGCGAGCACCTATTAAGGCCGGGACGGTACACGAAGGGGTGGGTGACCAGCACCACGCCCGGCCGCCTTTGTCTCCCCAGTGGCGATGTTTTGACACCACACCAGGTACTCATTTGAGGCTGAGTCGACCTAGGGGAGGCCAAGGACCGGTTCAGATATTAGTCACTGGTGTTGGCCGTGAGTGGGAATGGAACTCTGGTCACCGGGTTCGTAGCGCAGCGCGCTAACCGCTACACGACCGCTCCCCCCACACATACACACGGACGCGCACGTGCGCACAAGCGAGGGCTTGGCCGCTCACACCCCGTGGCTCGCACGGTGTCAAGCGCACGGCTTCCCCTGTGCCTCGGGGCGCAACGCAGCGAGAGGTCCACGGCGCGCCGCGTGCGGCGTTTGCGCGGCTCCGCGTGACCTCGTCCGGGACGCGCTGCGAAGTCGACGTGGCCCGTGACCGGTGGCCGACTCAGAGCCGCCAGCTCAAAGTTCACTCGAGAGGGAGACGGGGAGAGGCGGGGGTGCTGGCTCTACGATTCAATCTGGGTCAAGGTTGTGTCATTAATAGGCGACGTTTCGAGTCACTACACCTTCGTCACGGCATCTGCGTGCTATTGAGGCAGCGACGTTTCGGGCAACGGGTCTTATTGGTCACATGCATGTGCTATGAAAGCGACGTTTCGGTCCATTGCCTGACACGTTTATGCAATTGATGACCGTGCTGGCTGTTGTTCTTGATGTTTTGTGCGCTGCTGACAACGCAGCAGGAACGGCAGGTGCAAGTGCATTGTGTCGAATGTCGCGGTTCGAGTGCTGCGTCTTCACGCGCCGTGCGCACGTGCAAACGCTGCCATGGTAGTCGCTCTGAGTGAAACGCACGCGGGTGAACACCGGTACACAGTTACAATGACTTAACGCGCTTCAACGTTCATCAGCCGCTGGACAACTCCATGCGATTTCCTTTAAAAAATTCACAATTATTTCGCGTGACCGATGGACAGACGCGTGCGGTTGCGTCGCGGCCCGTGAAGGAAGAGTGGCGGCGGACACGGAGAAGCCACGAGGAGGACGGGCAAAGGGTGCCGGGGAGGGGGGAGGCGAGGGCGGTAGCGAGTCGCGTCCTCAGAACGCTCGTCCCGAGCCGATGTCGCGCGCGCGAACGTGAAGCTGGCGCGGGTTCACGCGAGTTGAATGCGCGCGGCTCATCTGCGGATGCGTCCCCTATCCGCGGGGTTCACGCAATGCAGCGCGTTCACCAGACAGGCACCGAGCTATGAGCATAAACGAACGGTAAGGTGCGTGCGAGACACACAGACAGACGTGTGCGTGTGGGAGAGGCACAGGTGTGGGGAGCGGTGGCGTAGCGGTTAGCGCTACGCTGCGCTACGAACCCGGCGACCCGGTATAGCTATAGGGGGATCTTTGTCTTTTGTGTGTGCTTAGCGGAGAGCGGTGGCGTAGCGGTTAAAGCGCCACGCTTCGAAACCCAGCGTCCCGAGTTCGATTTCCGCTCATGGTCAACGCCACGTGACGATTATCTGAGCCCGTTCTGGGCCTCCCATGGGTTGACTCAGCCTCAAATGAGTACCTGGTTTGGTGTGTAAACATCAGCATTGGGGGAGACAAAGGTCCTGGCCACCCAGCCCCTCGCGTGGCGTGCCGGCCTTCATAGGTGCTCGCTAACAGCAACAAGTCCCCACAGTGTGTATAAGTGCATGAAGGAATGCCGTGTATGCATACGCATAGACACACGCACGCTGACACACACGCGCGCGCGCGCGGAGTGAGCGCCACGCTGAGTGAGCGCCGTGTCAATTACACGCGGTGCCCCACCTGCGTTTCACTCGCCCGCTGCTCTCCCTCCCGGCACGCTCTCTCCCACTCTGCCTGCTGCTCTCGCTCGTTCTCTCAAGCGGCGAGGGCCCAAGTCAAAACACGACCGCTGCTCCCATGAATGTGAAAGTAGAAGAAAAGAAACGGGACCCCGTCCTCCCCCCACCCCCACCCCCCGGGTGCTGGGAGACTGCAGCTTCCGCGGCCACCGCCGCCGTTCGATTCCCGTGCGAGGCAGGGCCCGCACGCCGCCTGCGGCAGCGGCAGCAGCAGCGGGGGGGGCTGCATGCGGGGTCCCCCGCCTCGGACTCGCTCCGCTCCGACAGAGGCGCCTCGCGGCCCCGAGCCCGCACCAGAGCCCGCACCTGAACCCGCACCTGCGCCTCTTCCGACTTCGCCGACCTCCCCGGCGAGAGAAACAGAAAACAATCTCGCTCCTGCTGCTGCCCCTCTTACTGTTGCTGCTGCGTGGGGTGTTTTTTTCCCTCGTCGTGTTTAATGACGCATGTTGAGAGCGGTGGCGCAGTGGGTTAGCGCACCCCGCTCATAATTCAGCGCCCCAACCTGAAGTTGACTACGGCGAACATCAGCGGCGAGTGGAATCTGAACCGGTTATGAACCCCCCCCTGCCACCCGCACCTCTCCACCAACCCTGCACTGATCGCCGTGGGTGAAGTATGGTCGAACACCCCCCCGTGAGCAATAGCCGCCCTTTCGTGGAATTGACAAAGGGTTCGAGATGCATTTGAAAAACGGGAAACTCGGTGTGTGGCTCCACCCTGTGCAGCCCGCCCAACACGAGCCCGCAAAGAGGGCCGCTGCAGAGAATCTCACAACCATCCCCCCCCGCCCGCCCAGCTGCGTCCTCTACACGAGGCGAGGGTGCACTGGGCAGAGCGGCGACGTCGGAAACAGGGCAGGGTTTCCGAATAATCGAGGCGCGTGTTTCTCATTAGCGCTACAGTTTGCACAATTTTGAAAACACTTCTTGTGCTCGTGTTGGTTTTGTTTTTTAGAGTTCGGGGTTTGTTTTGTTTTTTCTCACGGCACGAGAGGCGGCGTCCAGAGCCGTGCGCCGAGCCCGCGTGCCCCGGCGATGGAGGCCGCGTGTCGCCGGCGTCGCCGTGAGACGCGCGGTGTGGGCGCGCTCGGAGTCGGACATGAGCACGCACAAGTTAGCCTCGTCGTGGAGAATTCATTTATTTGTGTTCTGCGTTCTTCATCATTGCGTCAAACTAGTACCCATGTCTGCGACGCTTCCGGCAATTCACCGATATCGGTGTAAAGAAGCCTGACTGCTGACGAGGCGCTGAATGTTTGCCGCGTACTCAACGAATGCTGCTAATAAGATGCCCTCCCCGAAGTGCGCGTGGCTGACGAGATGTGCTTAACAGGCGTCGTCTTTCCGCGTGGAGTGACAGGGTTTGAGAGGGAGGAGGCGGTGTGTTATCAACTTATTTATTCTAATATTTAACCGCGTCCATAATAGAGGTTTTTTTGGGGGTTAGATCGCGTAAATATATAAATGTGTCGTTAAAACCCGTCACCATCCGACACAGGCAATTATTAGGCTTGTCACGTAAACAGAACACGCCAATCTAACCCAAACAATCTCTATTATGGATGATATTGGTCGCGAAAGGCTACGTGTTAAATTTAAGCGCGTGTTTAGCTCACATGTTTGTGTTAAATATCACTCACACTTTTCCAAACTTAACTTTCAACGGTAGTGTTGGCGTGATGGGTCATAATAATAATAAAAATTAAGACCCCTTTGTGAATCCACAGTTGTATGACGGACACGAGAGATGTTTGACTATACTTCGCCACGCTTGCCGTCAAGAGGGGGGTTGAGGCAGCATTCGCCACTGATGTTAGCCGTGGTCGGGTAACGAACTGAAACGACCGGGTTTATAGCGCAGCGTGCAAACCACGGGGCTACTTCTCCCCGCAGATATGCTGTGTGAGCCTTTACCCACGCTCCCACGCGGCGACCGTGAACACGGATCGAACCGTGGCGTTTCTCCGCCACCTCTCCGATTCCAACCGAGATGGCAGGGGAAACCATTGGAGACGTGAAATCATTATTAATTAAATGGCCTTTGGCGCTTTAATCCACACGCAGCACCTCTACGTTACAGCGCACACGACATACCAACATGTCAAGAGCCATTTTATTAAATACGTCGCATTAACGAATTAAAAGCCAGTATTTGTACACATTTGAGAGCGGTGGTGCAGCGGTGAGCATGCTGCGCTATGAACTCAGCGACCCCCCCCCCCCCATCATCCCCGTCGCCAACACGCACTGACCAGCATGGTGAAGTATGGTCTAATGAACTCCCATGACCGACACGATGTTGGAATCCACATCATCCAGCAATGGATTGGTAATTTTTCTTAAGACTAATATCATGAATGACGCTACTTTATATGTGAATTGAAATCTTTACACATATATAGAATGTCCCGCAGTGCGTACGAGGTATGCGCCGAGCGCAATACCCGCTCACAATCTCCGCTGAAGCATGGGCAGAGGCGCAAAGGGGCTTCCATAGAGAAACGCCGGCACGGCCAGGCACGAGCGAATGATTGAATGAATGAGAAATGAACGAGAAAATAAAGAACGAGCCCTCGGCAGAGAGAGAGAGAGAAACTCACCACAGGGCTCAGCCGCCGCGCCGCGTAGCTCCTTCCAAGCCGAGGCAGCTCACGCCATGCGCACCGCGCCGCGCTCCAGGCGGCGGTCGGGCTACATGTGGACGCGCGCTCCTTAACGCTCCGCGCTCCAATTCCTCTTGAGACAGAGAGAGAGGCGCGAAGAGGCAAAGAGGGGGGGGGACGGTGAGAGTAGAGCGAGCTCGGAGAGAGAGGTACGCTCAGCTCTGGGGGAGGAAGCCCTCTCTCTTGGTGGAGGAGCGCAATGCACTGATATGCCACGGGCGCTCACCGCCGCTAATATACGGCGCGTGCATTACGTAAGACGCGTGTGTGTGCCTGGCCTCGCTCCAGCTCACAGAGGAGGAATACGCGGCCAGCCCACACACACGCGCATACACACGCAGGAACACACACAAGCATACACACACACATGAAGGCAGAGGAACACGCCCGGCTATCCCACATGCACGCACACACACACAAGGCAAATATCCCCCGTATAGCCTTAAACAGGCTGTTGACTCAAGTGATGTTAGCCCGGCACGGTACACGAGGGGCTGGGTGGCCAACACCACTCCCAGCCGCCTTTGTCTCCCCAATACTGATATTTACACACCGCACCAGATACTCATTTAAGGTGTAATCGACTTAGGAGAGGCCCAAGACTGGTTCAAATATTCGTTGTCACTGTTATTTGTCGTGAGCGTGAATCGAACGCGTGTCGCCAGGTTCGTTGCGAAGTGCGCTATCCACTACACACTCGCTCCTCACCATACACAGACCCTTACGGGTACACGGGAACGAACACACGCACACACCATTACATGCGCATGGGTAGCAACATGTAAACACGCTTCTATTAACGCGCAACAAACGTAAAGACAAAGATCCACGGTAAATGCTTAACAGACTTTTGGTACAAGTGCTGTTCGCGAGCATCTCTGAATTCCGGTACGGTGCACAAGAGGATGTGTGGCCGGCACCCCGCCCGACCCATCTGAAAGCATGTATACACCGACAGAGCACACACGTGCACAGGAACACACCAACAACACACGTGTGCACACTCACAGTGTGGAATGCGCCGCATGAGCGCCTTCGTTTTTCTGCGCGTGCGGAATTCCTCGCGTGAGCGCGACTCAGATGGAGACGCGGCGCGCGTGCACGGTGCCCGGGCGAGTACCCGCACGGTGAGTATCCATAGTCATCATCCTGGCCCGTGCCTCGCTCGCTCTCTCTCGGAGCCAGCTGTACCCGGGGCTTGAGAAGGACATCCACTCCCTACGCGACGCTCTTCCTCTTCTTCTTCGTCTGACTTATGCTGATGTACAGCAACAACTGTATCTTTACATTCATTAGGTTGCAGTAGTAGCCGAGTGTATCGCTGCGATGATGCCCCCTTCATATATACCGCCATGTGTGAGTCTATGGGTATATGTGCAAGAATGTCGATCTCTGTATTCTTCTTCGTATGGCCGATGTTGATGTAGAGCAACAGCTGCACTTTTACTTTGTGCAGGCTCGAACAGATCACTTCGTCAGAAGTGACGGAGTGTATCACGGCCGTCGTTCGTCTTTGTGAATCGGGAACCGAGTCCTCGTTACACGTCCCATCGTTCCGTTCGGAGTGACCACGATCGCCGCACACTGCCGGAAAGTGTTTTTTTTCCACGTGTACATCATCGTCAAGTATCCGTATCTACTGCTGCTGCTGCTGCTATGGTCTGTGCAGCGAATGCGGTTGAGGGTTCGGGGCGATGAGATTCGCGGAAGAGCTTCTATGCCCATCGTTACTGAGAAGGCAACATTATAATTGGAGTCGCTCCGGAGAATATAAGTAACACATTAAATGAGCGGACAATTCCCCTTCATCCCATAGCTGTCCTTCCACGTAAACATATATAAAGTATATGTTACACATCCCATCAGCCACGCGGACTTCTAGGAATACACGATTTCAGCAGCGTTGCTTCAGCTCGAACAAACTCTGGGCCAGTTTCGACACTCATTGTATCTTCAGCAGAGCCAAGCTCGCTTGAATCAATGCTGGTTAACTGCCAAATGTTTGCAGAGAAGGCCCCCTCTGAAGGAATTTGGCTCCTTGAATATGTCTCCAGCAGGCGACGGGTAACCAGGTGCGAGTTTGTGCAGCGCTCTGGTCCACCAAAGTTTCGACTGCAAGAAAAAGTACAAAGGCGCAGTTCTGCAACTGATCGCTCACGCCACTGCTCACGAAGGGTCCTCCACCAGAGGGTTGTTGGAGGCTGGCCAGACGTACCGGATGAAGTGGGCGCGTACCCACACTTCACCCCACCGCACTCGGCTTGCCCATCCCAGCCTGGATGTGGTGAGCTAGTTACACTGCTGGGCGGACAGAGGCGGCGGGGGGGGGGGGGGGTATGGGAAACATTCTCTATCGTGACTTAAAACTTTAATGACTACAGGAATTCATATTCTCTGGTTCTTTCGGTAAAGTCACCTAGATAGAAATCATAATTTTATTGTTATTTTTTTTCCTATCTACGTGACTTTACCGAAAGAACCAGAGAATATGAATTCCTGTAGTCATTAAAGTTTTAAGTCACGATAGAGAATGTTTCCCATACCCCCCCCCCCCTTTTCAATGATGCCTCGCCGTGAGATAACAATCTAACCAGCGACCACTGGATCACGAGTCTCGTGTGCTGACCATCACCCCACTGCGGCAGCTCCTGCTGCTGTCTCGCGAATGCGAGTTGCAGTCACGTCGAGTCACACCACACCGTGTGAGTCACTCGGTCGTTAACCGCGTGCAGTCCTTTGCGCAAATTACGGCCTCTTGCCGTGTACGCCGTGTCGCTAACCACTCCTCCACCGCTCCACACACGCGCCGTACAACAGTCAGCAATTGACGCGGGCTTCTGCTCAAATGGGTATTTAGGCATTGGTACTCGTCTTCCGCTTGCAGCCCTGATGCAGTGGTGGAATTTCCACATTCCTATGACGAAAGCGAATATTTCCATAACAGATGCACTGTTGGCTTCCCAAACAAGTGGTGCTCATTTTTATCGAATCAGGAAACGAGATGGGCTGTGTCGAACCCCTAACCAGAATGTTAACTCGCGACCTTCTGGTCGCGAGCCGCTTGCTCCAGCGTTGGACCAAGTGGCCGAACACTGGTACCGAACGAGGCATTCCACCTTTAGCTGGCCGTGCGACGATGGTCGATGTGGCGCGCTCGCTTCGCTTTGTACGCGCGAGTGCGTGGTGTTTCCAAAAGGCCACGAGCAGAGTCACGCAGGAGAGTAATTTGACTTGGATGCGAGCTGACACGTTCGCGAGCCGTCGGTAGTTTTTCTTACAGTGTCAAGCTGTGTGTGATTTATATTTCAAATCTACAAGTGCTGTGAGCGAGCGCCTATGCATGAAGGTCGGCACGGCACACGAGGGGGTGGGTTGCCAGCACCATTATCGGGTGCCTTTGTCTTCCCAGTAGTGATATTTACACACCGCACCAGGTACGCATTTATGGCTAAGTCAACCCAGGGGAGGCATCAGAGCCAGTTTAAGTATTCGCTCCGGTTATTAGGTCCTGAGCGTGAATCGAACTTGGGACGCTGGGTTCGTAGCACAGTGCACTAACCATTGCAATATTGCTCCCACATGTATACATACACGTGTGTGTGTGTGTTACTTGCATTACACCTATATGAGCACGCACATGTGGAACACATGCTGTGTTAAACATTACCGTTGTGCTAACTTACAGGCGGGAATCACATTTCAACAACATCATCAGCAGCATTGATCAATCCACTGCTGTCAGATGGGCTTGCCGGGAACGCAGCCACGGCCCTACACAAGCAAATGTAAACACGTTCAATCACTGACGATACTCGCGCACACAAGGTGTCTTCACGGGCGCAGCATAGCAGCAGGAGGGCCAGCATACTTTGCACGTCGAGATGACACCACCATTATTGCGCACATTCTCAACACGATGGCTGCTCTGAGTTGCTGCTGCTGCTGCAGGAGGTGACGACTCGCAATCGGAAGGTTGCGAGTTCAAATTCTGGTTGAGGGGGTTGACTCTGCCCATCATCACTCCCTCTGGGGTCGATACAGTGAGTACCACTTTGTGGAAATTGAACGGTGGTTGTCCTGTGGAGAGATTCGCCTTCGCTGTAGGATGGGAATTGTGTAAAACAAAATTTTGCGAAATTAAACAAATTGGTGCATGGGGTGGCCTAGAGATTAGAGCACTGAGCCGGCATCACGGGGTGCAAATCCGGGCAGTCGCTCGCGACCATGGGAAGTTGGTGGCCTCATTCTGGTCACCAACGGTGGCACAAAAAACCCCGTCATTGTAAATGGTGTTAGTCAAACTCCAAGTTACGTCTGCTTAAATTGCCATCCCGTTTAACATCCCCGAACCAGCGGTGAAAATTACAAGGTGGATTGTCTGATATTTCATTTGTTACTTATATTCTCCAAGGCGAAGCCACTGATCACCTTACGGCTATATACAGAGAGGAGGAGCGCTAAGGATGCTTGTATTCCCACTTTCAGATCGAGTTGCGAGCCCTGGATAGCACGGCTAGACACAGTGGCGTGTTCTCCTAGATTGAGGAAGAGCGCTTCACGATTCCTACGCATTCATCTGCGTGGATTAGGGGAAATGATTCCGGTGTCAGGGTACAACGCAGCACGCGTTCAACACGAGACGACGGGACGCGCGTCTCGCTGCCTGCGACCAAATCAACGTGAACGCGTCTACCTTGTCGCAGGGTATCGGGCAAGCTAAGCATGGCCGGTCCTGGTTACAAACTGAATGGATGACCGCGCAGTGCGTACCGGGTGTTGTTGGCGAGGTGCTGCGGGATTGCACATGACATGGCAGCAGTGCCGGATTAAACTAGTGCAGGGCCTGTAGCATTTGTTACAAAGGGGCCCTACATTTACTTGCACAGTCAAGTAATTTTATTTTTTCATCTGCTATACAGCCATATAATACGATAAATCGCTAATCTTAAACACCTAGTCGTTCATAAAAGTTAAAGGCAGTATAGTACTATGGTAATAGAGCAAGTGCAGAATCACTGAATCGGAATTGATAGCTTGAAAGCATTTAGCGCGGGGCCCTTGAAGATGCGGAGCCCATAGCTACTACATGTGTAGTAGCTACTACATATGTAGCTACATGTGTAGCTACTTTTGCTGCTCGGATTATCGGGACACTGGGACCCAGCCCTGGGGGACTCTTTCTGCCCGACCCGCGATTT